GTGCAGTGTGCAGTGTGTGCCGGAAGTCGCCGAGCGGCGCCGAGATGGACAGCGCGCCGCTCCTTGGGCCGCGTTTCTTGGGCTGTGCTGGGCCTGGCTGCTTCGGCACCGGCATCTGGGGGTAGGGGTCAGTTCAAGCTGCGGGGGTGGGGAAACGGACGCTTGGTCACGGCTGCTGGCCTCAAATCTCAGTTGTTGACCTGGGCCGTGCAGTGTGTGCCGGAAGTCGCCGAGCGGCGCCGAGATGGACAGCGCGCCGCTCCTTGGGCCGCGTTTCTTGGGCTGTGCTGGGCCTGGCTGCTTCGGCACCGGCATCTGGGGGTAGGGGTCAGTTCAAGCTGCGGGGGTGGGGAAACGGACGCTTGGTCACGGCTGCTGGCCTCAAATCTCAGTTGTTGACCTGGGCCTGCCTGACTCTCATGCCCTCTGCGCCATCCCGAGAGCCCTGAGCCTGCAGGCCTGGCAACAAGAAAATTCCTCCACAAACCTTAGGGGATTCCCCACCTGTCCGAGGAAACTCCGGTGGGAGATTCCTGGAGCCCACAGTAACGGCGGCGACTTTGTCCCTTAGGCAGCACAGGGACAGCGCCTCCGTGTCACAGGTCCTAGCGGGCCAGCTTGGCGTGGTACGTAACCTAACAGTACAACTTCTCCTATTTTGTAAAACATTAATAACAGTTCCCCTACACTAAAAGAAAGGCAAGTATGGTACCCAGGCGAAACTGGAAGTTTTGTGTTGCAAACTAAGTGTCAATTGCTGCCCTGGACGGGATGATAAATACAAATGCTCTGCCACGTTTTGGGCTCGGGGTTTTCTCTGGAGCTTCTGGGTGGAGCTCATGACAGCTGTCACCACGGTCCTGATGAGAACATTCCACCTCAAAAGTAGCTCGCCCTCTGCGTGCTAGGTGAGTTGGGATCAGTCCATCTGTTTTCCACTGCAGAGTGGATAACATAACACCACCTCCCTTATAGAACACATAGAACAGTTCAACACAGGAAACGAACGGTGTAGCCAGCTGCGGAGGGGTGGGAGGAAGACGAGCGGCCAGCTCTGTCTGTCCTTCCTTCCTTCCGGTCACTGGCTCCCTGGGAAGTGTCAGGGTCGGCAGGAGTTTAGGTGGTGTGCTCTGAGGACTGGCCCACCCCCCCGCTCTGGGAAAACCAACCTTTTTTTTTGGTACCAGGGATCAAACTCGGGTCCTTATGCTTGCGAGGCAGGCGGTGGAACCACTGAGCTAAACCCCCAGCCCTCTACTCTGGTTTTAATTGTGGAACTTGGTTCACTCAAGAATCTTGGTTCAGTTTAAAGTCGGAAGACCCTCCAGACGCCAGCAGGGCCCTACCCTCAGCGCTTGCCCGACCTGCGGTGGCCCACAGGAGAAGGGCAGTGTACGGAGAGCCAGGTCTGGGTGGCTGTGCCCGTGCTGCTTAACTTGGGGCCATCTACTCAGCCTTCCTGACCTCCTTTCTGACTGCCTCTGGAAAACAGCGACGCTAACACATTTCGGAGTCTGTTTGGCAAGAATTGGGGCGATGCAAGCACAGTGTTCAGAAAGCAGAGGCTGAATGGAGGCCTGGGCTCCAGCCAGCACTCGAGGGTCCTCCCCGCCGTGCCTCTTGGTGTCCCCTTTCTGACACTCAGGGCTGCCGCCTCTTCTGGCCCTGCCCTTCCTTGATCCCTACTTCTGCCCTGGCGTTGCAGATAGGCCACTGTCACCGCTGGTTCTGACATCACCCGTCCCCCGCACACATTCTGCCCCTCCCTCCCTGTGGGGCCCTGAGCAGCTTCCTCAGGCTTGGCCAACCTTTGGCCAACCCGACCCTCATCTGCACCTCTGAACCAGGAGAGTCAGAACTATTGCTCAGAAGTGGGGGGCGGGGCACGACCCAGGATGGAGTCTGAAGTCCAAGGACAATTCTGTGTTGCTCACAGCCACTCCTAGGACAGAGGGTGAGCAGCCACACTGAAAAAATGACATTTGGTTTTGACACAAAGGCCCGGAAGCCAGGCCTGGTGGTGCATGCCTGTGATCCCAAAACTCTGGAGGCTAAGGCAGGAGGATCTCCATGAGTTCAAGCCCAGCCTGGACTGCCTAGTGAGACCTTGTCTCAAAAAAAAAAAAAAAAAAAAGAAAGGAAAAAAAAAAGACAAGACAAGACCAGGGATTTCCTAGCACCCTAAATTGTCTTTCTTTCCCATTGCAGATGAGAAAATATGAGTAAAACAGAGCTTCCAAATGCAGCCCCTCTCCTGGCCAGCTCTGATACGTCTGGGCCAATCGCTCCCTGCTGCCCAGGGTGTCCCCGGGGATCCAGGCTTGCATCTCCCTCCACCAGGCTTGCTGGGCTTCTCACAGTGAGGTCACTCTTGGAAAAAGCTCATCACCAGCCAGCCTTGGACAGAGGGGCTGCTGTTCTGGGCCAACACAAAAGCTTGGGAGATGAGCTCCATCCGGAGACCAGCCTGGCCCCTGCCCGGCCCACCCTCCCTTTCCTGCCTGGGCAGGGCCGGCTCCAGCCGCAGGGCTAGGGGCACAGCTGTGTCCGCGGCCTGGCTAGGGCGGAAATACTGGACGCTGCAGACCGGCCCGACCGGTCCTGAGACCCCGGAGAGGGGCGAGGCTGAGCACCAAAGCTCTTCCCAGGCCACGTGGCTGGCCCTGCTTCACAGCCAGCTTCTAGTCCCTGACCCCCGTCCCTCCGGCGGGATCCGGGACCCCTGCCCACTGCCGCCCCTCACCTTGCGCCTCTCAGAGCACGGGGCGAGGCACTGAGTCTTCCTCGAGCTGGGGATCGAAGCCCACCTTCGCCTGCCAGCTAGCCCGCCGCTCACCCTTCCTCCTTCCTCCTGGCTGCGGATCTCACCTGGCAATGAGGTGTCAAGTCGCACGGGGTGGGGGTGGAGGCAGGGGCCCAGGTGTCCACCCTCAGGGCCACCGCCTCAGACCACCTCCTGCCTCTCGGTTCCCAGGAGCCTAGCTCCAGCCTCCTTAGGACCTGGGGTCCCAGCCCAGCCTCCTCCCTCAGAACCACCCACTACAGACCCTTCCTACCTGCACCCAGGAGAGTCAGCCCCTCTCAGGGGCCATGGTGGGAGCCCAATCCCGCTCCATTTGTTGTCCAGCCGCGGGCCCCTCCCAGGCCTCCTTATCCCCCAAACATTTGCGTTTGGGGCCTGAAGGACTAGAAAGCAGTGGTGGAAAAGCTGAGGCTCCCCTTGCTGACTGGCCGGACAGGGTGTGCAGAGTGGAGGGGGTGGAGGAGGGTTGGGGCGAACCCCCTGCCCGGCCCCTCCCCTGCCCAGCTTGGTATTTCCTGAGACTGGGGAAGTGGGGCGGTGTAGAAGCGTAATTTCTTCCAGATTGCAGCAGCTGCTGGGGGAGTGTAGCGGGGGGAGAGAGACAGATCCAGAGAGACGGAGACGGCAGAGCCCCCGCAGAAGGTATGGTTTTGTAGTGGGGGAGGCACAGTCTGGTCTCCCGTGAGGAGGGCCCCACTTAGTGTCTCCCCAGCCACCTATCCGTAGAAGTCGTAGGTCACCAACCACCTGTGCTGTGGTGGACACTCAGTGAGATTGCGGTGTCAGTCAGATCCCTCCCGGTTCTGAGGAGGCAGGGCCGGAACCTGGAGGAGCAGAGCCTGCAGGTTCAGGGTGGGGAGCGGGTCCTGGCCCTGGGGTGGCTGGGGCTGTGAGGCTGGAGGGGAGTAGGACGTGCCCTGCATGGTGTGGAAGAGGAGGGGGTGCTTCCAGGGCCTCGGGAGGAGGGGGACAGGGCTGAGGAGGGAGGCGGGAAGTCGGGTGGAGCGCAGGGCCCAGGCCAGGCTGGGATTTGCTGGACGGAGGCTGTGGGGGACCACAGCAGGACCGAGTGCGGGGCAGGGCCCGAATGCATGTGGGATGGGCCAAGGGGGCGGAGTGGTCACCAAAAAAACAGTAATAGAGTAAGTAATATGTATACCTAAATTAAAGGTTTTTATCAAACATTTTATTGGTATAAAATTCACTAGTGGAGTTTTGTTTTTCTGAGAGGGTCTAGCAATGACCTCAGACTCTTGGTGATCCTCCTGCCTCAGCCTCCTTGTAAACATCGACAGCTGAGTGGCAGGAGGTGGAGCCCGTTATTATGCAGTCACTGCCTCTGTCTGGTTCTAAGACATTTCGTTACTGTGGAAGGATGCACACAGCACAGTCAGGCTGCATTCACTCCGTTCCAGCCACAGGGAGCCGGAGCTCTTGTGCGGGTCCTGTGGATTCCACCTGTTTTGGATGCTGAATACAAATGGGCTCCTGCGTTGCGCGGCCTTGGGCGTCCCCTGCTTTGGCGAGCGTGTCTTCCAGGCTCCTGCACATTATTAACGTGTGACGCCCATGGGGCTGGGATGTAGCTCAGCGGTAGAGCACTTGTCTGCCACACGTGCGGCTAAGTTTGATCCCAGCACTACCAAAGCCAACAAGAACCAAACATACCAAGGATCATTTCAAGGATGAGAGCTGCATGCTGCGGGGCCAGGAAGGCCAAGCTGGAACTGAGGCAGGGCCTGCTGCTACGGATGGAAAGCAAGATTTCTGCCCAGGGGACACTCTGGGGCTCCAGGGCGTCTCCAGGGCTGGGTGTGAGCCCCCACAATAACAAGGCCACTCCTTCACTTGGAGCCGCACAGCAGAGTGGACTGGAGTTGCTGACGCGTCTCCAAGGATGCAGCCATTGCAGCACCCAGACCCGTGTCCGTCAGGAGAGCTGGAGTGGAGAGGGCAGCCGGGGGACGGAGAGAGGACCCCCGCCCTGTGTGAGGGGCGCAGCCCGGCTGCCCCCGCAGAAGGCTCAGCGGCATTCTGCCTGCCGCAGTGGCCCTCGGCCGTGCTGGCGGGGCTGTTGGGAGCTGGATGTGGGCTGTGTGGGGCCGCCCGGAAAGCTTGCCTGTCAAGCACTTTGGGTTTTTCATTGTTCTGAAGGCGGTGGGCCTCGCTGTGGTTTAGATGTAAAATGGCCCCAAAGCCTCCCGTGTTGGAAGGTGACCGGAGTGGAGCTGACTTGCTGTTTGGAGGTGGGATCTGGTGGGAGAAGGGCGGGACCCGGAAGGGTGTGGCTCCTTCCCAGCTCCTCCCTGACTCTCTATGGTCCCAGACCGCCATGAGGTGAGCGGCTTTCCTCCGCCAGGCCCTCCCACCACGTCTGCTGCCTTGGCGCCGACTGCGGACCACAAATGCAAGCCAAAATAAACTCGCCTCCTCTAAGTTTCAGGGCCTTCATATTTTGTCCGCGTGACCAGGAAAGCGACTAAGACAGGGCCTCGTTTCATCTCGTTTGCCTGGGACCCACAGATTATCTGGCCAGGTCTGCGTGGAAGCATGAGAGGCTGGAGCTGGGCCGGAGGGTCCGGGAGGGGCACCGTCCGAGAGTGAAGAGGAGGTCGCCGAACTCTGAGCAAGGCCCTGGCAGCAGCCGGAGAAAGGGGAGAAAGGTGCGTCCCAGATGCCTGGAGGGGAAGCCGGGTCCTCTTCCTCGGGTCTCAAGCTGCGGGGCACAACAGAAGGCCTCTGGAATTCGTAAAACCCAGAGGCTCCTGCAGCTGGGCAGGCAGAATGCAGGCGGGGTGCAGAGGAGAGGAAGCGCAGCGAGGGCCGATGGGGCAGGGAGCCTCCCAGGAGGGAAGGGAGGACAGATGGGTGTCTGCAAGATGACCCCACGGGGAAGGCTTTTTTTGGTACTGGGGATCGAACTCCGGACTTGTGCTTGTAAGGGGTGGTGGAATCAGTGAGCTAAATCCGCGCCACTGGAGAGCTTTTATTCCTTTGGTTGGTTTGGATACATTTGCTGCTATTTTTGTTTCTTTTTTATTTTTATTTTTGTTTTTGGTACCGGGGATCGAACTCCGGACCTTGCACTTGCAGGGCTGGCGGCAGAACCACTGAGCTAAATCCCCGGCCCCTCTTTTTTTTAAAAAGTAATTTTTAGTGGCACAGAAGATACTTGAACACGTCCCGCCCTCTGTGGGAGGAGACAGGAGGAAAGCCGAGAGAGTGGCTGAAGCAAGCCCTCCCCGCGGTGGTCGCTGGGGAGCCGCAGCTCGAACACTCCGCGTGGGCCCTCTCCCCCACCGTCACCGGATCGGTGACCGAAGAGACTGCGGCTCTTCCCCAAAGTCAAAGCAACCTTTACAAGTCAACATTTTGAGTTGATTCTGGACATCCAGGCAGCATAGCAGCACAGCTAAAGACCCTGGTGAAAGAGGACTTCCAGAGCTGCTGCTGAAATCGACAAGAACACTGGTGACTCATGGCAATGTGCCTTTTACTTTTTAAAAAATTTAAACCTTCAGCGTATTCTTCAATCACATCTTATACGTAACAATAGCAGCTAACTTTTGTTGAGGGCTGAAGCCTTCCGGGAATGTGATAGGACGATGGCAAGGGCCGGGAATTGCTATTACTGGCCTCGTTTTGCATCTGTGTAAACTGAGGCATAGAAAATTCTTTTCAACTGAGGTAAAGCCCACTCATCTGTGCGGTGGGATTTGCATCTGGCAGCAGAGACCAAGGGGAGGGTGTGGGCTACACAGTGAGAGCACCTGGAGCCGGAAGACAGACCTGTCTGCAGTTTTCTGGACGGGCAGGGTTGTTCTTTTACCCACCTGCCCTCTCTGACGTCCTGTGTCGGTTAAGCAATTCAACTGTGGCCAGGGGCCAGGTGTGTTGGCCTGTAATCCTAGCACTCAGGTAGCTGGGGCAGGAAGATCTTGAGTTTGAGGCCAGCCTGGGTGACATAGAAAGTCCCTGTCCAAAGGGGAGGAAGGCAGTGGGGCTGAGAAACTGAAATTTTAATTGTAATTTATTCCAGCTGGAACTGTAGCTGGTGTTCATTGGCTCCGAAAGGAGAAGAGATTGTGCAGGAATCTGCACCAGGGCTAGGGGAGGCTGCTCTGCAGGACCCCGAGTGCAGTGGCTCTCTGTGCTCCGGGAAGGCCCCCACTCTGGGTCGGCTGGAGCACAGGCAGCCCCAGGACCACAGCTGATTCTGGAAGAGCCCTACATGGCCTTTTGTGGCTCTCAGGCCAGCCTGTGACACCAGGGCTGATAGCTCGCCCCCCACACCAGCAGGTGAGGGAACAGGCAGCAGCAGGGCCTGTGCCGAGTCCAGAGTCTGGGGCAGGAATGCAAGCATCTCTCTGGGGATGCGTCCTCCTACAGCAGCTGAAGTCATCACCAGAGGCCGAGTTAGACATTGATGCCCAATAGGACAGGGACTGGGCTCTCAAGGGAGGCTGCACACAAATAAAGACCTCAGAATGGGCTGGAGGTGCAGCAGAAGGCGGCTGGGCCCCGAGACGAAGATGCCCCAGCCAGGTCTGCAGCCTTCCTGAGGGACGAGCAGGAACTTGGAGTGATTGGCACCAACTGGTCAGGAAGCCCAGATGGACACGCGCCGCCCAGGTGGGTGACCACAGCGTGGGCCCCGTCCCACCCAGAATGCTTTGTTCTTTCTGCGTACCTTGCTGTGAGACCCGCTTCCTGACTGGGTCGGCGGTACCAAAGCAGCTGTACTTGTAATCCCGTGGGTGTGGCGGTTGGACCCACGCTGTGGCTCTGCTGTGTAAATCACTCCTGCCTATGGGCCTCGGTGGCCGCGCAGGGCCCTTCTGTCTCGGGAGCCATCTCCTGTACACCTTTCCTACGCTTACCTTCCACTGTCTCTAGGAATTCGTTCTTTGATTTGGGGGGACAAGAACTTGGTGCATCTGATATCCAGCAGATTGGGATTATATTCCTCCTGCATCGAAGTGACCTGAGGCTGGGGTTAGGGTTTCCCATAAACAAGAGGACTTTGAAAGAGCCCCACCTAGATCCAGAAGAGGAAGAGAAAAAATGAGGAGGGAGGGGAGGGGGTAAAGTTCACCTCGGTGGAAGGAGACCCAGGAGTGGACAAGCCAGTCACTGGCATTGCCCCTGAGTGCCCTGTGAAGGGTTGTCCTCTTCCTTATTCCTGCTGGGCCACCTCGCAGGGCTGCCCCCACCCCATCCCACCAGGAAGATTCGGGGCTGGGGCCCCAGCAGGTTCTGCAGAGAAAGGCTATCAACTGGGAAGGCTGGGGAGGCCGGAAGGGCCGAGAAGTGGCCGCTGCGTGCCCTGACTGCCGACGGT